GTAATGATACAATGTGATTCATGTATATTTTTATATGCAGTGAAAAAGCAAAGCAAATGATTTGTAAAAATGATAGTTATTATTTTTTTAATTACACTTTCTTATACAATTTTCTAACTGATTCACAGTGATTGCAATATTTAACAGTGAGTGAGAGGGAATCACATGTGACAGTGAATGCATGTGTAAACCCAACTCACCCTTCTCACTCTAATGTTGGGATTTAGCTCCATGCTGCTCGATGCAGGTGGCACTCATTAACCCTTCTTTTTCTTTGTTGATGTGATGTGATTTAGTCTTTTGTCCATCCATCCATTATCTATACCACTTATCCTGAAGAGGGTCGCGGGGGGCTGGAACCAGTCCCCACTGACACTGGACGAGAGGCGGGGTACACCCTGGACAAGCCGTCAGTCTATCACAGGCCTGACACGAAGAGACAAGCACTAACCACTGCGATTTAGTCTTTTGTTTAGTTTTAAAATCAGTGACAGAAATACTGTGTTACAGTACAAGTCCACACATATGTGCCACAGTTAGGAAGCACAGTGTTATAGTCAGCTCAGGATACCGGTGGTGTTGTAGCTGGTAAGAAACAAATGCATTCACATGTGAAGTCTTCATTTAACTTGAGACAATCACAAGATGAATTTTATAATGAACTTATATGACACATGCAGAAGCAGAGACATATCCATCTAAAAATATAGACACTCAGGACCTGAAGCTACTATCCATCAGGCTTGGTTCAGCAATCCGAACAAAATGTTTCTCTCATAATTTGTCTGTATTTTTTCAAAGTTCTCCTACTTCACATGCAAGCCATCGAGCTCATTCCTCCTCCCACTAATCCTTCTGCTTTAATGCTTGTCTACATCAGGCTTGGCCACATTAAACTGATGATTAATGATATATTGATTGGACTTTGTTTCTACCAGTGAGCCCAGGTGCTGAGTTGACAACACACTTGCTTATCTGAGCCACCCAGCTTGCCAGAGGAGAATGTTTCCTGAGGGGAATTAAAAGGCTGAGGACATACTGGATTTGTAGACTTTTGTTTTCCAACTGAGCATTCAGATAGACACCAATACAAAACCAGAAGAAAAATATATCAGTGAACCCATACATAGTAAATAAATGAATTACTAAAACTTTATTACTATGAGATCTAAACTTATTATAACAGTTATTAAGTTTTGTTTCCTTCTAGAAATTATATCAACATGGGATTTTTGAGGCCAATACTGATAATGATATATTGGTCATAAAATAAAGAGTTTAGATTTTAGATTACTGGGCAGTAATTTTACAGTTGAAAAGTAAAACTGTTACTACTCTCTGGTGCAATGGTGATACTATTTTAAATCAGCTTAATTCTTCAATTTATGCTGCATATCCTGAAGATGGGCATGGAAGGACTGGAGCCAATCCCGGCTGACACATGTGGAGAAAGGTGGGGCCCACCCTGGACAGGTCGCCAGTCTGTCACAGGGTTGACATAGAAAAACGACAACACACACTCACATGGATGATAGAGCTGCCAATCTGCATAAGCTGCATGTCTTTGGACCGTGGAAGGAAGCTAAAATACCCGGAGAGAACCCACACAGGCACAGGGAGAACATGCAAACTCCACATAGCAAGGCCATGGGTTGGCCCGGGCTCAAACCTGGAACCTTCTTGCTGTGAAGAAACAGTGTTAACCACAGGACCCAGGAGGTAGAGGTTTTCACCAAGCATATCAACTCTGTGGATAGTAACATCAAGTTCACTCGTGAGGATGCCAGAGATGACTGTCTGGCCTTTTTGGATTGTGCAGTCCACTTGTGAGGGGACAGAAGCCTGAAGGTAGAAGTATACCGGATACCTGCACACGCGAACCAATACCTGCTTTTTGACTCACACCACCCACTTCAACACAAACTGGGAGTCATCAGAACTTTAAATCACAGGGCAGAAGAAGTGCCCACCACTGCAGAAGGGGTCAAGAAGGATAAATTACACATCCAGAACTCCCTTAAGGCTTGTGGATACCCTAAGTGGGCCTTCACCAAAGCTAGGAAGAGGCCCAACACCAACAGGGAGAAACCAGAAACAAGAGGGGATAACACTGTCATCCCTTATGTGGCTGGTTTATCAGAGAAGTTAAAAAGGATCTTTCACAACCACAATATCCCAGTTAACTTTAAACCAGGGAACACCCTGCCAGTGGACCAGAGTCAGCAGTCCACCTCCACCTGAAGGACAAAGGACATTCTTTTGAGGACAGTGAAGTCCAGATCCTCTCCAGAGAACATCGCTGGTTTGAGAGAGGGGTTAAGGAAGCTATTTTTGTAAAAATAGAACACCCCTCACTAAATAGGGGTGGTGGACTATGACAAAACTTGTCTTCCATCTACAACCCTGTTTTGAGATCTCTGCCCAAACATGCCCACCAGGACAACAGGTGTCAGTCGACAGGGGAGGATTCAAAGACAGGTAACAACTCTCACCGATACTGGGCTATAACGACTTAGGTTGTTAGGGGACATTGTTGGGCATCAAAGGACTGAAACACCACAGAGGGGGATAAATATCTCCGGCTCAACACCAGTCAGTCAGAACTGATGAAGCCTCTTGGATGAGAGGTGAAACGTCTTCAACCTAGAAATCTAGTCCAGTTGTCCAAGTTTTTTTCAGAGTGCTAACCACAGCACCACTATGGCATTCAATTGATCAGTTGTGATTAGCTGTACAGCTATACTCATGGCCAAAGATTCAATTTCAATTCAGTTTAAGTTGTCTAGCTCTAAATCACAACAAAAGTTGACGCAGAATGCTTTACAGAGTCAGGTCTAGACCAGCGAGGGAATCTAATGTTGATCAGCTGGTCACTAACCACCGCAGGGGGCTTCACTGGCCGGCTGCTTGTAGGTTAGATCTGATCAGGTAAAACGTCGAGTCCCTGTACAGGAACATTAGTAACCCCGGGCCCTGTAGTTTTCTCCACATCCTCTGCTCACGGTGCAGCAGCAGGAGGGAAAATATATCCACAAAACCAGGTGCAGTTGAAAGATTCTTCTTTTACAATGGTACCGGTGGATATCGCTTTTTAAAAAAATAAGATTTATTGAAAACATACATAACAAACAAGGCAATATAACATTTTGCCAATATGCTGGGGGCACCGGTGGATGTCAGGCAAGCTCACATGAACACATGGATTTTATGCCCATTCATGGAAATCCTTAAGCTATCACGTAATACTTTATTTTGTTAGAAAAAAAATCTTGTGAGCAAGAGTTAGCGAGACGTGTATAAACTGAGTTACTTCTGCATAGAAGTAACTTGTATGTGTGTGTGTGTGTTTAGCAGGCAATGTATTTATTTATTTATTATTTAATATTGAAATTTTGGTGTTTCATAAGTGATTTGATTTTATTTGGGGGAGGATTTATTTTATCTTGTTCTTTCCACTCATCACTACACATCTGGCCATCAGCATCTTCTTTGCTGGCCTTTGCTATTTTGAAGAGCACATTTTAGGCAGGGGAGAGTAAATTACCTGTATGGAGATGACATTTCCATCTAATGTTCACTTTGAGGCAAAATTGGTATCATCCCCCAACTGCAAGGTGACAAAAAGTCTGATGTTCTCTTTCTATTACGCTCCCACCCCACCCCCTTCTCTCTCACTCACCCCCTTTCTATTTGTCTGAGTCACACTCTCCTGCACACCTTCTTTCTCTTTCATGACCCACGTGTGCTTTTTGAGCAGCAATCTATTACCTACTCCACATCCTCATCCCTCACTCCCGCGCAATCTTAACACTCTCTCATTTCCCCTTGTATCTTTCACCATCACGCTCTCCTTCACCTCCGTACCCTCACCTCTCACCAAGCACCTTACTTCCTTGTGTTTCTTCGCCTGCAATCCGCTTTTCCTTATCTCAGATTTCCTCTCTGATTGGCAGATAAGTATCATTTTGGAGGGCCTCTACAAGTCGCTGCCTTCTCATTTCCTGACTGAAATGGCTTTTCTGCTTATTTGCACTGTCAGTGATCATTCCTTGCATGCAGTAATGATTCCTATATTCCCCAGAGATATGGTAAAAGAGGAGGGGCAATTTTAAGGATGACACAATCTAAGTCATCTTTAAAGCATGACCTTTCCATGTATAGTGTTTTCGTAGAAATGTTTGTTCTTCACTTTTGGTAAGGAAGGGCACCAGAATCATTTTCTGATAATGTTTAGCACGGTGGTTAGAGATGTTTAAGCGTCTCCCTGCATAGTTTTTGTATACCTATACAGCTGTGTAGTGTCTGATATCAGTTCAGCTGTGATGCCCCCAGGAGGCACTGCATGAGAAACCGTCCTGCTACCGTGAAGCCACATGGGCTTGGCAGGACTTTGGAAAGTCATTGTCATTTAACACTACAGTTGGGTTCTTTGTGCCAAAGATGAAAAAGACCATCCATTCTGTTAATAACAAAAGTTGCAAAACCCAGCATCTGTGATAGTATGGGGGTGCATCAGTGCCCACGGTGGTGGTGTGACATAGCGCTAAATTGGCCTCTGTCCCAACTCATTTTAGTGTGTTGCATCAAATTCTAAATTTGTTTATTTAAAAAAATCCAACCAAGTTGATCAGTGAAAACACTGAAAACATTTTCTTTATACTTTTGTCAGTTAAATAAAGGTTCAGGCAAATTAACAAATCACAGATTTTAGTTTTTATTGCATTTTGGAAAATGGTACAAAAAGTAGCCCAAATTACAACAACATGCGCAAATCGATTTCTGTGCTTCAAAAAAAGCTGATTGGGTAGTTGAGTATCTCAAAAAGCCTAAATACTAAAGCTTGTTTACATGGTATTGTTATGGTTCAGTTTCATTTCCTGTTCTGAAAGATTTTATTTTGGTTACTTCCTGCCCCGTGTCACCTCACTTGCTCCAGCTTTACTCCAGTGCTTAATCACCTTTCATTGTTTTCACCTGTTGCCGCTTGTTTCCTGTCCATATAGACCTCCTCCTTTCGCTCAGTAAGTGGCTGGTCCATTAAAGATATTGATGGTACTCACCCCATTCATCATGCTGGCCGAGTCTGTTTCTTGGCTCTGTGACGCTGTTACCATATTTATCCTGTCAACTTACTTGTGAGTTCCTGAGTCTTCAGCTAAGATGGTGTTGTCTCCTGTTCTAGCATTACCTGCTGTTTGTTCCTGACTCCCCAGCAACGTTGTCACCACTTTAGCCCTGTGCTCCTGGTTCCTAACTATCTCTGTGCCGCTTCTGGCTGCCTGACTCACATGAGTGCTCCCGGGACCAAAGCTCCCCCTTGGTTTTTGTCCCCTAATCGTTTAATAAAGACTTTCTAGATTCTTCCTCGTCCTGCTCTGCATTTTGGGCCCTAACCTATTGTGAGAATTGCAACAGGTATAAATTCATGTTGGAGGAAATTCTATGAGATATTATTCAAAAAGCTATAAAATGGAAGGAAAAACTCTCCTAGATACTAACAAACTTTTAAAAAAAGTATTTTATTGAGCTGTTCTCTCAGCTTGAGCACAGTAATCTCTTTTCTTTTCAGTTTGGAGGTGATAGTTCAACACAGCCAGGTCTCCCAGGGATCCTCATCTGTATACCAGAATCAGCAAAAAAAAAAAAAAAAGATTCAACTGGAAAGCCTCCTCAGGCTTATAAAGCATGGTGAGCTTGTTTTTTGGATACTTAGTCCCAGTCCACACATACATTGGTATTTTTCAAAAGTGAGTCTAGTTAGTGAGAGTAGTACATCTGCTCCCACTAACTTGGTGATAATAAAGATCGTATTGTTTTGTTTGACATATTTCAGAAGGTGCTTGAAGGACGCCATCATCCCCCCCAATTGAAGGTTCTCCTGCCCTCTGTGGGCACTGAGCTAAAGCTGTGAACCCTGTCAGCTGTCCACATTCTAGCATTAAGTGTCTGCTCTACATTGTCACAGGGCCTGGCTTTAGCCTGCACCATCTGGGGTGTTAGAGAGGGGATACTAAGTCATCGTTCATTCTGTCCCATTCAACCGAACTGTCAGGTCCACTGAGATGACAGGACATGATGGACAGAAAGACAGACTATGGGAGATGGGGAACATGGAGAAGAGGAGGAGCAGAAAGATAAAGGCACTGTGACAGACAGGAGTAGACGGGCAGTTAAAAAGGAGAGATGAGAGACCAGGGGGAGAAAAGATAGACAAGACAGAGCTTGTTGAAAGGGAGAAGAAAGATCAAGAAAGGGAAATAGAGACAGAGCGTGGAATAGAGAGGCTCGGACAGGAAAGGGGGGTTATCTGTCTTTTAGTTTCAGACAAGGTCTGATGGTTGCTCTCTTCACTTGTGTCAAGTGCAGCATCAATATAATGACTTGTTTGATGCTTGGTCTCTGTGGCCCGGCAAACTGCTGCTATTATAACAGCAGACAGACGGCCAATGTCATGTCTGCTGTCTCTTTGGACCCAAAACGCCCAAGTGGTATGGACCCAGTGAAAAACATTGATCAGTCTCATGAGTCTGTGTGCCTCTTCACGTCAGCTTAGTGATCATATTTTATTTTTAAATATTGTTCTAATGCATTTCTTGACCCTCTGTAAAGTGCTTTGAGTTGCTTTGCAAATAAACTTGTCTCATCTTACCAGATGTGTGTTATATTGTCAAATCTGTCTCTCATAATTTTAAACTTTTGAAAAAATTGGAAACTTCTTGAAACCCACTAAAAACATTGTGCAGTACATACAGAATAGAATAGGCCTACCGACATAATCTGGGTGAAGTTCATAACGGTGCATTATTGTGAGCACCTCATCAGTAAAGTGTATGTCCTGCAAAATGGAACGCTTTAAGTGGCAATTATCATCTCCAGGAGGGGCCGTGGAGACAAACATCAGATGTGACGATCAGCAGGACAAACACATTTAACTTATGTGATGCTGGGATTTAAACAGATCAGCTGAACATGTAGGTCAATACTCATGGCCAAAAATTTTATTTCAATTAAATTCAATTTATTTGTATAGCACCAAATCATAACAAAAAAGCCAGGTCTAAACATTATTATTATTATTATTATTATTACATACGAAAAGCCTAACAAATCCCCCTGAGCAAGCACTTGGTGACAGCGGGGAGGAAAAACTCCCTTTAACAGAAGAAACCTCTGACAGACCCCGAGGCTCTTCTGCCTCAACAGGTTGGGGTGAGTGGATAGAGGAGAGAGAGAAGAATGGTAAATGGACTGTATTTTATATAGCGCTTTCTCACAGTGTGTTGCACTGGCCAAAGCGCTTTACAGAGATGATACACCATTCACACACTGATGACGACAAGCTGCCATGCACCGGCGCTAGTCAAGCCACCAGGAGCAATTCGGGGTTCAGTGTCTTGCTCAGGGACACTTAGGCGGGGAGACCGGGAGTCGAACCACCAACTTGCTGGTCAGGAGACGACTTCCCTACCTCATGAGCCACAGCCACCCCCTACTACCACAGAAGAAAAGCAACAAGACACAACAAACGCAACAAAAGCAACAAAACAATCAAACACTGATCAGGTCGATGTGGCTGGTGACTGCTCATCAGAAACATAGAGCTCCAGAGCCAGGGCAACCTGCATAACGCTGTACACCGTCCAGATTCTCTGACTTCATGGTTGAGGTGCATCTTTTTTAAATTTCAAACGTTTTCAGTGTGAATCAGTTTTTCATTTGAACACTAACATTTTCTCTTAGGTGCACACTCAGGGTGTTAACTGCTGTTCCACTACATTATTTAAACACTATCTGTTATAATTAACTCTCTTCTAAGGTAATGGATAAGATGATGTAAATCAAAAAACTGAAAACTCATCATTTTTATGGCTGTTTCCAGTGTGTCTCTAGTGTAGTCACTGTAACAAATGGTATGAATCCCATACCATACTGTACGAATAAATTATGCCCACCAGCCTTGGAGTTACATATGGAAAAGCAAAGACTGAACCTCCAAGGTATTTATTTGGCTGACAGAGAGGACTCCAAGAACAGCATTACAATCAAATTACTCCACAAAAATCCTTCTGAACTGGCTTATGTGTACATTTATCTGTGTTTTACTCTTTCCTTTGTGTAAATAAATGAATCAGCCACACAGCCAGGCTGGACCAGAAGCAGTGCAATCAAAATGAAGACATTTACCCTGTTAATTTTCTCTTTTTTGCAAAGCTCTGTTATTGTTTCAATACTTAGGAAAGTAGAGCTACAAGTGTGTATGAAGGCGAAGTGGGAGCATGCATTTATTTGCACCCAGAGATGGGTTCTTACATACAATATGTGGTGGAGCACACCTCCTTTGTGCTTTTGTACCTCCTTCCTGAGGAAGACTCTGACTTCACCACTGAGCTTCCTTCCATCTGTTCATCATTTTTCATATACTGTATACTGCATGGTCAGCCACACTGTGCCACCAGCTGCAATGTGACAAGAAGATTTCCACGCTGGGATTAAGCACATTTAATGTGTTTATCTCATATAGTGGCCAATTTTGTTCCATAATGCACAATGCGAATTGAAGAGCACCCATTTGGGAACTGCTGGGTCTAAATTTCCATAGCAAGCTTGTTAAGGCAATAGGTAATTTTTCTGAACAAGCTAAAACAAAGGATGCCTTTGTGTAGCTTCGTTGTTAAGCAGGGGAAGGAGATACAGATGTGGCTGTGTCATGGTGAGCCTAGCAGACTAAAGGCTAAAGGACCAATACAGTGATACAGTGTGCAGTTGGCTCAGCATGGAGACGCTGCGTGGCGTCCGGCAGCAGCAGTCTTAGAGGAAAGCATTAGCTTGCATGATTGCGAATCCACTGCTGGATTTGTTGTCCTTTCGGGGTCACATATTGCAAAGGAGTGCTGATAAGAGACACCCTGGAATGCATGATGTGTAGTGGCATTTTGATGAAACTGCATTTGAGTGTAAGTAGTTTTTAGATGGGGGAGGCAGTTTAACTCGGTGGTGGTAGTAGCACATGGCCTTTTTGTGCTGTCTGTCTGGTTAATCTTACACAATTCTTCTACAATTCTGGTGTCCATGAGAATGTTTTCATACATAGACAGAGAGACAGATGCCACCAAGACAGCATAATGTCCCACATATGGCGTACCACTGTGGCAAGACATGAAAACTAGAGTGAAGTGAGTAAAAAAGAGGGATGGAAGAACGGGAAGGGAGTGTAGGGCAGTGTGCAGTCTGTTACTTGGGCCTAATTAGAGCACTCCGAGATGGAGAGATGGAGGGAGCAGTAAGGCAACAACTGAAGTAGAATTCTCAGGAAAATTTACTGCTGAGACTCTCACAATGACGCTGCTAATAAAACAATTTTAACTGCCGCTGCTCTCCCCCATGTGTGATTGTAGCAGTTTTGTGGCCGAAGTAGTAAGGCAGTTAGACAAAACGTGCAGCGCTGACATTAGTAGCCACAAGAAAAACTACCAAAGGCATGGACCTTTCTCAGCATGTCATTTAATGTACAGCAGAAGAAAAGGAAAAGGAACAGAGAGACAGAGGTAGACTGGTGTAGAGACAAAGGGAGAAATAAAGGGAAAAACTGAGAAAATTCATTTGGTGGTTTAATGTAAAAAGAGCTAAATTAGCATCATTACTGCCCTGTGGCAAAAACAGTGGCTGATTTGTGAAACAAAGTACGGCTTTTACTGGGAACAACACAGAACCTCTATTGTTCAGCATGCATTTTGCAGATTGCACTCGTACTCTCACATAAGAATCCACCCGTAAACATACAAAACAAATTACATACAAGCTAATACATAATGTTAAAGACAAACCAGCACACGCTGAGATAGCTGAATATGGTTCAAAGTCACAGTCCAAAGAAGTCTTTGATGCATTTCGGCCACAGTGTCACCAGAAATTGCTGAGGCAACAGTAGATTATTTATAAAGTGAAGCAAAAGCTGAGTGTCATTAGGATGGTGTCAGTGCACAGCTGTTACCTTTGGATATGGTGATCCTGTCAAAACAAAGCTTGGTGAGGGATTGGGCTACATCAATTTCAAAAATAATGTTGAGTCCTGTGAAAGAAAAGTCGTACAAGACATTAAAGGGCAATCATCAATAAATTGTGCATAACCTAAAATAGCATAGCGAGATAGAGTGAAATATACAGTATATAGTATAGAGTAGGAAGTAATCATGTTTCTAAAAACAAATATTCACTGTCATGACTTTCTTATTTCCAGTATATGGAGAAATTCTCCATAAACAGCTTTATTCTCCAGTTTAGCTTCACAATTCATAGAGGTGGACAGAAAAACAGCAGAGTGGGTAATAATATCATCCATCTGATGGAAGGCCTGTGAGCAAGCATCACTGAACACAACTGTGTCTACATTCAAGACAGTTGTAATCATTACTTCTGTTCAGAAAGAAACACAAAAGTCTGTAATGCACAGCAATGTCACAGTAGATTATATCACCTGACAAAGAACCAAAAGAAACAGTTGAAGTAACATCAGCCCTACAGGTTTCCTTGTAAGTGCAGTCCTACTGTACAGGTATTGTTTCACTCAACAGGAGGTCAGAAATCAGTCAGCAGCAGAAAAACAGCCACTCTGGAGTCAATGGAGTCTGTGTTGTGCTGACTGACTGTCCAGCATCCACCTTGCTGAGGGCTGCTTGTGTTGAAGATCTATCCAATATAAATAGCAACATTAGCTATCCCAGCATGTCCCTTCTCAAGAGTGGATGCCTCAAATGAAGAAGCCCAGTTTTCCATTCCAATAGTATTCTACCATCATAAAGGGAGAAAGTTTATGCTGATGTCAGCAGGCAGAGAAAACTCCCTGGTGTCATACAGCCTGAGTGCTAATGGATCTGTGCCGTCACGTTTCTTCAGCATCACTTACCGTACAGTATGGTTTACTCATTCAGTAGATTACCTAAAAAAATCCAACCTTACTTCCAAGTGGCATGGGTATAAATGCACGTCTTCAGAGAATCTGTTGCCGACAGACAGGTGACATAATATTCCAAATATGGTTTCCCTGCTGCATGTACATATTCCCCTGTTATAAAGTCTGTTGTAGCGATTTAAACAGAAAATATGCAAATGGGAAAGCTGCAATCGTCATCTGCTGATACCAGCTTCCTTTCCACGTCTGTTACAAGCCACAGGGGGAATCATTTCATTTGATTACTATACTGTGTCAGATGTTGTCATTAAGCCAAATCAAGAGACACAGACAAGAGAAAGCAATAGGGAGCAAAGAGGAGAAAAAAGTATCTGGGAAGGAAGGGGAAAGAAATAGTGAAAATGCAACAGAGCATTGGAGAGGAGAAAGGAGAAGAACAAGGAGAGTGTGTTATCACGAGAAAGGGGAAAAAAGCAATTTTGAAAACGTTCATTGAGGCATATTTTCATGATTACTGGAGCTGAGTTGGTCTTAACAGCAGGGGATCAAAAGGAGCTGTGTGTCATGGGGCAGACAGCACCTTTTCAAGGTCTGTCAGCCTGGCAGCATTTTAAGTCAGAGTTATTTAGTTTGCTTGGACAGACAGCACTAAAGGAGAGTGGAGGAAGAGAGCGTGGGCACAACTGGC